TACAACTACTGCTTAAAGTCAAGAACATTCCCTGAAATATGCACATAATAATATGGTTCCATTATAACAATTCCCAAACCTGGCGCTGATCATTCACAACCCAGGAACTACAGACCAATAACCCTCCTTCCAGTGATAGGCAAAATCTTCGAAAGTATCATTAATCAACGAATCCTCAAAGCTACACAAGAAATCATACCAACATACCAATTTGGATTTAAACCACAAAACTCTACAGCCCATCCGTTAATAACACTAGTGAATAACATACAAGTAAATCACAAATAAAAAAGAAAATCTATTGCACTGTTCTTAGACATAAATAAAGCCTTTGACACGGTATGGCATAAGGGTTTACTATACAACATGGAAAAAACAGGCGTCAATGGTGCCTTAATTAAAATCACAGACGAGTACCTAAAGAATAGACAGCGCAAGGTGTCCCACAGGGATCTCCTCTGTCTCCAACTTTATACAATATATTTTGCTACGATATCTATGCAGAAAACCCGACCAGCTTTGAACCAAAGCTATACCTCCTACAGTATGCAGATGACACAACATTGGTGTCACACAACACCACACTAGACAAAGCAATCGAAAACCTTCAAATGCTGTACGATACAACGCTAAAATGGTTCAAAAATTGGAGACTTTTACCCAATCCCTCCAAGTTCCAACTTATAATTCCCAACCACCGCATCCGCGAAAGATCTCCTAAAATTAATACTGGCACAACCACGGTGAAACCCTCCAACGTTATTAAATATCTTGGTATAGATTTAGACAACAACATAAAACTATTCAAACATTTCAAATCCAAAGGAGTTGAAGCTGCCAAACGAGAAAAATATTTCAGAGCTCTGACATACAAGAACGTTGAATTCATTTCAACAAAAAGTGCTACGATGACCTATAACGCTATATGCAGACTGGTTTTAGACTACGGTCAAATTCTCAGAGCCAATACATCAAAGAAAACAAAAGGAGGAATAATAAAAGCAGAAAGAAAATGCCTAAGAATTATAATGAAGATACGCAGTCCTCAAAATCCACTGCACAACATTAGTAACGAAAATCTATACGTAAGAACAAAAATACAACCAATTAGTCTAAGACATGCAGAAATCTGTAAAAAATTCGTCAAAAAACCACATAATAGACGATTGCTTGACAAAATCTGCCAGAGACGAACTATACGAAACTCTGACACACAACACATAAGAAGAAACATAAAATTATTTAAGTAAAACAAAATGTATTACATAATACTGCAAGGTGGAAAGATCAGGGCATTCAAAGCTCCTGATCGGTAGCCAATAAAGCTTACTTCTCTCTCTTGCTGAAAAATGTTATGCCTTTGGTGTAACAGATATACGCCGAAATTTACCTCCAAACATGAATTTTGTCATCGTAATACCCAAAGTCGATCAACAGGTGACGCGGCCAACCCTAATAAAAATTAAAAAAAGAAAATAACCATATAATTCTGATTGCAAGTTCAGCTTGTAACAGACAATGTGTTCGTCCGGTCAGGTCTGCTTAAAAATAGCCGCTGTAGAAATGGTGTTATCAAAATCCAGTTTGTAGTGTATTTTGCATAAAGATCTTGCCTTAAAGCAAACAAAGTCCAGCTGATGCCAAGAATTAAAGCCACAAGATCACGGACAAAGCCGTACATTTGCTGATTGGATGGTAGCAATGCACGAACAAGATCACAATTTTTTGAACAAAATTATTCTGAATTATGAGACCCATTTTCATCTGTCTGGTTATGTCATCAAGCAAAATTGTCAGATTTGGGACTCCGAAAATCTAAGACAAGTGGTTTGGTGTGGATTTTGGGTTGGTATGATTGCGCCTTGTTTCTTCGAAAATGATACTGGTGCAACAGTTGCAGTGAATGGATTGCGTTTTCGAACAATTTTTTGGCTCGAAATTGATGATATGGATGTGGACGACGATTTTTTTCAGCAGGATAGCGCAACATGCCTCACTGCACGTGAAACGATTACTTTATTGCATAAAATATATGTTAGACGTGAAAGCTCCCGAAATGGAGACATTAATTGGCCACCAAGATCATGCAATTCAACACCATTGGACTTATTTCTTTGGGATAAAGTCTACGGCATCTCTCCAGAAACGATTCAAGATCTCAAAGAAAACATAAGAGTTAATCATGAAATAGGGCCACAATTATGCGAAATCGTGATGAAAAATTTTATCAAAAGAATGGCAAAAGAATGTAAGCTAAATCGAGGAATGTTCCGTTATTAACCAATACTGTTACTAACACAAATACTGTTTTTCTCTTAATTTGAATTGAAACCTCCAGTTGGAAGACAACATCGTCATCAACATTTAAAAAATTATTATCGTCATTCGTTAAAAAAATCAAATTTGATGTGTTAGGTTGAAATACTTTTAAAAATTGGTTACTACCACTGTATTTATCTTATAGATACCGCTATCCAAGAGATAACTTTTGAAATATCTATAACCCGTGGATTGGGTGTCGGATAAGTTGCTATCTAAGGGATAACTGCGGATACCTAACCTCAAATAGAATTTATACTGACGTATAAAATTCGAGCGTTTTACTATTTCAGTTAAAATAAGAAAAGTAATATAAACATAAATAAAAAGCTATTAATAATTAACATTAGATAAAATCATCATGGATAATTTCTTCGACATTGAAGATGAAGAACAAATGTTTGAAGAAATCAATGAATCATTTCCTATAAGAAGCGAAGTATGTAAGGATAGTAAGGAGTAGAGTTGACCATTTAAATATTCATTCAGAGGTTGAATTTATGACGAGATTTCGTCCCTCGAAAAAAAGTTTTCATCACCTTTTGAATCAAATGGAAGATGTAATAAAACCTCCATCTATGACGTAAGTAATTTGTTGATTGCTATTATTTAATGTAAAATTCATCAAAATTTTAGTAATAATGCTGTACCTCCTTCAAACCGTTTGTTGCTGACTCTTCGGTTTTATGCAATAGGTAACATGTTGCTATCCATAGCAGATTTTGCAGGTGAGTATACAATTGGCATTTTCAGTCGTTCATCATGTTAGTTGTGCCATTATTGTTTACCATCACATTTTAACATACTTTTTAATACACTTTTTTTGTTGTCTATTACGTTTTTATGTTTGATAACAAATTCAAGAAGATGTTCGCATTCTTCTTTGATGAAATTGGTGGTTCGTCGTTTTTTCTCAGACTCCATTTCCAAATTTTAATTTTAAGGTTTTTTGACCACATAAAGCTGTCAATTTAACATAATAGACCAAAAAATTCCTAGATTCCTTGGTTATCTCAAGGATTTCTTAACTATGAGATAAATGGAGGTGGTAGTACGCACGACCCTGTTATCTACGAGATAAATTGTATCTTATAGATAGCTTAACTGACAGATAGCATTGGTTTGGTAGTAACGGGCCTAAATGAAACCGTTTCTTGATATCTCAATGAGTGATAAATCATTGTTTAAAGTTAACTCTGAGTATTCTCTAATTTAGCAGATACTCATTTCGTCAACATTACGTGAAAAATTGTTATCGTGGTCATATGTTATATATACCAAATTTAGTGCATTAGGTTGGAACTTTTTAATAATTTCAATAAATTAATTCGTTTCTTGATACCTCAATTAGTTTTTGAGAAATAATTGTTTAAGGTTAACCTACAAAATTATCCAATTTGGCATGTATTCATTTCGTCACCTTTAAGTTAAAAAATATTATCGTGGTCATCTGCTAATATTAAAATAACAAATGTAGTGGATTAGTTGGAACACTTTAGCAATTTTAATTTAGAATTCTTTGGAAACTTTCATGAAATAAACCATATCTCGATTAGTTTTTACGAAATTATTTTTTAAATGGTTGTGATATCAATGTTTTCGAGGAAAATTGGCAAACTTGAAACAATTTAGTTATTTAATCGTAGAATATTGAAATTGTAATGCTGTTTTGTGAATTATAAATGTAATTGTTTTTGTTATATAATCCAGTAACTTCTCTCTTAATGAACAGTTAATAGATGTTAATTGCATTCCACTTTGCAGTAAAAATTCACATAATGACGAAGCATTTACACACATCCGATAAATGAACATGTCGTGTCAACTTACTTTTAATTTTCAATATTAACTTAAAAGAGAACATTAGAAAAATATTAGATATTAAATTTCTACTTACTATATTTAAAATTTTAACAACAAAAACTTGATATGGGGAGGTCATTGTCATTGTTTTATACTATTTGATGTTCGACTTGAAACATTTCAGTTCATTTTAATAGTTTAACATTTAGATATGACAATCTAAACAAAATATTATTAAATTAATAATTGGAGCGTTGCATGATATATTACACAATTAGTTTATTTTTGTCTTAACTATAATTACTTGTTTAAAACCGCAGAGGTAATAACCTAGACTATTATGTTTGTTAACTAAAGGGGGATTTCCGTTTAACGTCTATGTTGCCAGTTTATATTTCGCAAGTAAACATATCATTGTTATCATATTAAATTTTGAGTATCTTCTTATTAACACAATTACAAAATAATAACAGAACGAAACAAACACATTTAAAAGTTTTTTTTAATGGAATGTTTTATAAAAAGCAATGAAAAAATGTGATGTAATGTACAATATAAGTAAACATGGAAAAATTTAATAAATCTTAAGAAGCACGCATTAAGGTCAATAATAGTTTAAAAAAACATTAACGCGATAAAAGTACTGTACTTATTTGAAACAATTTACACATTATTAGAATTACTTTTTGGATATTTTTTCCACAATTTTTTTATCTTTATTTAACACAAAAAATGTTTAAATATTTTTCTTATCTCTTCCATACTAAAAAAAGTGCATTCACCAACAACTAAATTATTTTTAAATATTTATTAAAAATATAACTTTTTATCACTTTTAATTTAACTTTAATTAATTTTGTTGTAGTATTATTTCTTACCTATCCATGATATCAAGCTAACAGTAGCGCTAAATTCTCTTTCTAATCCTGGTATTAAAATGGTTGGATATCCTAGCGTCATTCCAAAGGTAACCAAAAGAGTATTTTTAATACAAACGGCGACAATTTGTGCCATATTTTTACGACGACTTTCATTCGATTCATAGTTAATCTCAACCCTGAAAAATTAAGAAAAAATAATAGACAAAATAAATCAAATTAATTATTAACTATTGAATTAGGTCAAACTTTCTTTTAAAATCAAATAACCGCTATATAAATTTGTAATTCTTCTATTCGGTGAAAGTGGCATCCGAAAGCGATAGAAGAATGAATAAGTTATTTAATTTCGATGTAAAATTTAGATAACCAATAAAGATATTTTATCTTGTTTTTTGAAAGTTAATTTTTAAAGACCAGACTTACATTGTTGAAGATAAACCGGTGGCTGCCGATGGTGATTGTCGGTGACGGAGAGTAACACACACACAGAGTGACCTTACACGAATATAAGTTACGGAATAATTCCTCGCGAACGTTCGTTCGTTTCGTTGTATTGCTGGCAGTATAAAGACTATAACACGATTTTTTTTATTTTTTCTTCACTTGTTATTTTTAAAAAGGTCGTTTAATTGTTAACATATAATTAAGGCGTTTCACATTGTATAATTAAAATCTCTAAAATGATAATACTAACATGCGAATTACAACTCTTGGATCTCTGTAACTCTATTACGAAAAAATTCTTTCTACCTCGATGGGATACTTTGTATCAAGGTAACAATGACTTATGATTTACTTCATGAATGAACAAAAATGCAAGAAATCTCTAAAATATTGTCAACGATATTTTAACAATCTCGACAATATAAAAACTTTGTTAAATGAAGTAGCACATTAAGTTTTGGAATAGTCAGAGGTTCCACCTCAAAGATATTCTTTAAGGATGCTGTGTAACGCATGTTCTCTCTCTCCTACCTAACCTTGGTCTGCTTCAAAGTTGCTCTCCAAACGTCCCTATCATATCCGCAACCCTTCCCTCACTCCGTTCTTCCACCATGTTCTCTTGGTCTTCTAGGTCTGGTTTCCTTGTATTCTTCGGTTAAGGGTTCTTTTTGGGATCCTGTCTTCGTCCATCTTCACCACGTGCCCTTAAACCTCGCATTCGTCTAAACCTTGCATACCGAGATGTCTATAATTTGGTGATATATTTCCAGGTTAAATCTCATTCTCTATTCCCCGCTGATTGTGACCGCTCCTAGTATTATTCTCTGATTCTCCTTCCAAAGGTATTCACTATCTTTGCCATCTTTAGAGTAAGATTGTCCTGATTATCGTTTTGTATATTGGTGAATCTCCTTTGATCGAAATATCTACATATATGGTTCATGACGAAGTATGTTTCATTTCCCATGGTGAGTTTCTCCTTATTTCGACCGCTTCACCGCCATTTTAGGTCATACTTACTCCCAGAGATGTAAACTGCTCTACTGCTCCTACGTCATCTCCGTCCATCATAATCTACTGTGTATGATGTTTTGTTCATTTGTATGACGACCTTAATCCGATACTAAACAAATAAATGATTTCGAACAAAAAAAAATTAACGAAAGATTATCAATATTTGTAGATGTGTATTGTATGTTTATCAGATGTATTGTTGTGGAAAAATAGGACATAAAACAATTGATTGTTATTTAAGTCAAAAAAGGAAAGTCTTCAAACAATCTAATAGTTCAACATTATACATTAAAGAATCAGAAGCAATGATAAATGAAGAAGAAAAGAAAAAGCAAGTTTGGTGTCTCGACAGCTGATGTACATCTCATAACATCATAAACTGACCGGCAAAAAAAACCGGCCACTATAAATTAGCCAAAACTTCAAAGCTGGCTTTCTCGCGAACCGCGCATTCGATTTTGATGATCGAAAGGTTAATTCTTCGGTAATAATCCTGCGATAGAAATTTTCATTTAGATTTTAATTTGAGCATATACGGGTTGCAAGAATGAGAAAAACTTTTTTTTCTCGAAATTTGTAATACCCTGTGGGGTGCAACTGCTACAGCAGATGGTGTTAACTGGAATCAAACGGTAGCCCAATCTTTTCTGAACATCTCGTTTTTTTATTCACTCTATTATCTCTATTACTAACGAAGATGCAGTGTTTTAAAGCGAACGCCTGTAAAAACAAGACAAACAAGCATAAAAAATCTAAGGTGGCGCGCTAGGTAGTGTATGTCATTTGTTTCGAATAGTAAATTGACAGTTGTTAAAGATTTTTGCAGTCTTTTAACATAATAGCAATCCCGTTGTCAGTAACTGATGTTGCGCGTATTGTTACTTTAATTGAGGATGGCAAAAGTCAGCAATACGTTGCCCATACGTTGGGTATACCCCGAACAACAGTTCAGGATGCCTGGAACCAATATGTGGAAACAGGAAATTTCACTAGGCGGCAAGGTTTCGGTAGAAGACGAGTGACAACAGCAGTTGATGACCGATTTATTGTTCTAAACACTCTGAGGAATTTTAGAACGACAGCTGTAGAAACTCGGCATCGTCTTCAGATGGTGCGTGGGGTTGACGTAAGTGAAAGAACTATTCATCGAAGACTTGATAAAAGTGATCTGACTGCAAGAAGACCTGCCAAAAGACCTCGGCTGCTCCAGAGACATCGGCGAGCAAGTCCTCAAATAGGGCGCGTACGTACTCAGCTGCTCCTGGAACAATGGGGTAAGGTGCTCTTCACTGACGAGTCCCGATTTTGTCTCCGGTCACCTGATGGTCGAGAATGAGTGTGGAGACGTCGTAATGAAAGGTTTGCGACTTGCACAATTTCGGAAAGAGTACCTTTGCATGGAGGTTCTATTCCCATTTTATTGGTGACGGATTCATGCTAATGCATGACAATGCGCGACCGCACGTAGCACGTGTGGTTAACGAATATCTTGATGAAGTAGGGTATTGAACGGATAGAGTGGCTCGCGTGCAGCCCGGACCTTAACCCTATCGAATATCTTTGGGACCAACTTGAGAGACGCATTCGTCGTCGCCCTATCCTACCGGACAACCTTCAAGATTTACAAATTGCTTTTGACGAAGAGTTTGCCGCAATTGCTCACTGACATCAACAACATGCACCATTTGAAGACGACATCGAGCTTCTACAGCTGTCGTTTCACGATTGCTTAGAACAATAAAACGATCATCAGCTACTATTGTCACTCGTCTTGTTTTCACAGGCGATCGCTTTAAAATACTGCATCTTCGTTAGTAACAGAGATAATAGAGTGAATAAAAAAACAAAATGCTCAGAAAAGATTGGGCTACCATTTGATTCCAGTTAACACCCTCTGCTGTAGCAGCTGCACCCCACAGGGTATTAAAAATTTCGAGAATAAAAGGTTTTCTCATTCTTGCACCCTGTATATGCTCAAATTAATATCCGAATAAAAATGTCTATCGCAGGATTATTACAGAAGAATCAACGTTTCGATCAAAAAAAGAATCATCAAAATCGAATGAGTGGTCGCGAGTAAGCCAGCTTTGAAATTGTGGCTACATTTTAGTGGCCGGTATTTCTTGCCGGTCAGTGTACATAAAAACAACCGTTATACCTTACGGTGTTTGGATGGTTGATTTCAATTGCTAAAGGCATCCTCTAAATCATCCTAAAATTTGATCAGTTTTGGAGGTGCCCAACGGGGTCAAATTCACCCCCAAAGTTCGCGCCGCGCTGTGTACCTATAGTGTCTAATAACACATTTTTTTTCTCGGAAACCGTTATACCTTACGGTGTTTGGATGGTTGATTTCAATTGCTAAAGGCATCCTCTAAATCATCCTAAAATTTCATCAATTTTGAAGGTGCCCAACGGGGTCAAATTCACCCCTAAAGTCCCATCCGCGGTTTATAATACTGATTTTTTTTCTCGAAAACCGTTAGGGCTTACGGTGTTTTGAAAATTGATAAAAATACTTAGAAGTGTGTTCTATTATGTGGTAGAATTTCGTTTAATTCGAAGGTGCCCATCAGGGCGAAAACATCCCTTTTTCGGGGGTGAGGGTTGAAAAATTTTTTTTTTACCAAATGGGGGTGGTTAGCTGTTCTTGAGGGTAAGAGTGACCTGTGTGTGAAATTTGGTTACCCAAATCGTATTGGTTACGGAATTATTAATGTTTTAAGTTTATTGCTGGGATTTATGGATAACTTCACACCAGTTACATAAAACGCCAAAGAAATTAAAATTAGCTAATAATCAAATTGTTAAATTTACAAAGAAAAGAGCATTTATAATTAATAAAAGAAATAGAAATGTACTTGGAATAGCAGATAGAAAAGGAGACCTATACTTTATTGAAAAAGAAGAAGCAAATTTAATAAAAGTTGAAAGCAAAGTTCAAGACTGGCATTATAAATTAGGACACTTAAATGAAAAATCTCTTCAAGGAGTTTTATAGAAAACAAAAACCTTGAATTTTAACGAGAAAAACAAGCTGAAATCCTGTGAATGGTGTATCGTTGGAAAACGTGTGCAAACAAAATTCCCGTCATCTACAAAAGTAAGAACGAATCAACCTTTACAAATTATTCACACTGATGTATGTGGTCCAATGAGAACAGGATCAAAAGGAGGTAAGAAGTATTTTGTCATTTTTGTAGATGATTACACACGATATACCGAAGTTTATGTTATTCGAAATAAAAATGAAGTTAAAGATATTTTTATAATGTATAAAGCTCAAGTCGAAAATAATACAGGTTATAAAATTAAACATTTATAATCTGATAACGGGACTAACGCCCGGTTTCATAATAAAATTAAAGGCGGCTTTAAATATTTAAAGTCACTTTATCTTTAAAACGCGTTTCATAATCAATTTTTAACCATGACGCCGGCTTTAACTTTAATGTCGCGATTCTCTCACTTTAACGAGGAAAAGCGGCTTTAAGCGCTGTAATATAACCTATAAGTGTCACTGCGTGTGCTTGTCCGCTGATTATATATCTGTTCATTTCACTCAAAATACAATGAATTTGATGGATACGAGTTCAAGTTCATCATCGGAAGATGAACCTGTACTTGTACTGAGAAGACGTAAAGTTTACAAGATGAGAGTGGATTGTTTCCAACGATATAATGAAACTGAATTTTTTGAAAGATTTCGACTAACAAAAGATACGGTAGTTTCGTTATTGGCATTGATAGAAGACGCAATATTGCTGCCCTCAACCAAGTAAGTTGTATTATATAATAAAAATATATCCGGTATATTTATACTTTGCATTTTTCTTTAGAGGGGGCTCTATACCAGCAATGCACAGACTATTGTTAACCCTAAGGTTCTATGCAACAGGGAATATGCTCCTTTCTGTAGCGGATTTTATTGGAGTATCGAAAGCCACCAAAGTTACCAGTGCTATAACGTCACTATCACCTCGCTACGTAAAAATGTATTCTACGAATGCAGAAATGAATAGGGCTGCGGAAGAGTTTTATCGATT